GCCCCCTGGTGGGCTGAGCTGGCCACACACACTAAATAAAATAAATAAATAAACAAATAAAATAAAAATAAAATAATAAAAAAATTAAAAAAAAAAAGACTCAAGGAACAGAATGAAATCAATGTTTATAGCTCTTCTTGGGGCCGGGGAGATGGCTCAGTAGAATAAGCTCTTCTCTGGCAAGTACAGGGGCCTGAGTTCAATCCCCAGTTCCAAAAATAAATAAATAAAGTATAACTCTTCCTACTTTTTGAACTAAAATATTCATGACCAATATCTGATAAAAATGGTGCAAGAACTTCCTGTGCTGAATCTGAACTTTCCGCTTCTTGATCAGGTGATACTAACAGCAGAGGTATCTGGAGGCAGTCATGGGGGAAGAGTCTTCAGGTCATCAGATTTTGCGAAGAACTTCGTGCAGACAGACCTGCCCTTCCATCCGCTCACCCAGATGATGTACAGCCCCCAGAATTCCGATTACCTTCTAGCTCTCAGCACTGAAGTAAGTCTAGTGGAGGAATTTGACTGACTGACACTCAAAATGTGTTGACTTAAAAGGATTCTGCAGACAATGCCTTTATGTTGGACTTCTTTCCAGTCTCCTTACACATGATGTATATATTTTCCCCCAGTTGGTGAAGGTTACAATTTCTGTATGCTCTCTGTTCCAGGTAAGGATGATGTGCTGTTGTCATAATTATTAATGTGAATAAATGTGTGCCATTGGAGTAAGGCGGCAGAAAATAGTTGTCACTCAAGGGACAAGTATAAATTGTCAAATTTCTAATATTATTACTCCTTTCCCATGAACCAGCCATCTTTATTTTTTCTTTTCTGTGAATTCTTCAGCACATAAACATGTTGATTTCTGTATTAGATTCCCCAAATCTCAAATCTCTACATTTCTGACCACATTCCTGTACAAACCAGTGTCCCTGCCAAACCATCTTGCCACTCTAAAGGTTCCTCGAGGTACATATTTAGGTTTTCCTTTCCTGTCGCGAAGGGCCCAATGCAGCTAAATGGCTAGACTATGGTAGTCACAGTCGCCTTCGCGTTCATGTGGCTTTTCTCTTTAAGGTTCCTTAGCATGGCCTGCTGAGCAGAAGCATCAAAAGGAAACACCGGAGATGCTAGTTAAGCTGCAGTTCTCCAGGTCCCAACTCAGATATAACAAATCAGTCACTTTTGTGTACAGCAGCTATGTTTTTAACAAGCTCCCTGGGCAGGGCTGTGCTCTAAAATTTGAAAGCTATTGTTGTGCAGATTGTTCTGGGGACAGAAACAAGACCCCAACTGTGGACCAGTTAGGCTGAGCAAATGTGTCACTGGGAGGGTGAAGGAAGGGAAGAGAGCTCTGGGCATTGGGCCTCTGTGGGAAGATGCTTGAGCAAAGGTGTGGCTGGGCTACTACAGCAGGGTCCCTTTCACGCTTGCCAGCCGAGAACAGAAAAAGGGCAATAGCTTGCAGGGGGTAGGGTACAGGGGTACCCTGTAGCGCAGGTGGTGCTCAGGTCTCAGGGAATTGGCCTCTACAGTTTGAGCCGAAGGCCCTGCAGAGAAACCCAGGAGACTTCCACTGAAATGGACAAAGCAGTACATCTCCCCTTTGACTACTTCATCTCTATAAGTTTGTTAAAGTAAAATTGGCTTCAAGAATGGACAGGTACAACCCTACAGTCTACTTTTCTTCTGGAAAATTTCTTCCAATTAGGGGTAAATTTGAAGTATAAATAATTAGGATGGAGAAAGTGGACCAAGTTAGACTGATGTACAAAAAAATGATATCAGATCCTCTCTTGTGCTTGTATGTAGAACAAATAAATTAGCAATGATTACTGTCAGATAAGGGTTATTATCAGAGGAGGAGAAGTTGCAGGAGCATGGTGGGTGAGAGTGGGCGAGCACTGAGGGGTAACCCTGCCTGGACGGACCCCATTGAGGGTCAGATGCACCATCGTCTCTCCGTCACACCTCCGTAATTCTGAGCTTACTAAGTGCATGTCGCCAGTGTAATTGGCATTGCTTGGTCTTCATGTTATTAAGCCTTTTGCATTTCCACGTATTGGCCAGTTCCTCCCTTGGGACACTGCTGCTTGGCTCTGTGACATCATTCACTTTGTTTATCCTGCCTTCCTGGCCCTTCCTTCTTGATTTCTTAAACGCCTTTCAGTTTGCCCTTAACATGGCTACTGCTCATTTCACTCTGATCAGCCTCTTCTGCTCTTTCATTCTACCATTTACAGCTAGCCCAGCTTCCTTTTTTTTTTTTTTTTAGAACCTGGGATTGAACTCAGGCCCTTGTGCTTGCCAGGGAAGCACTTATTCCACTGAGCCATTTCCCTGGCCCCTAGCCCAGCTTCCTGCAAGGCATCAAACTGCTGATCTTACTGCACCCTGGATATCTCTAACTTGGTGCCCCAGAGGTACTTCAAACTCAGTCCAAGACTCAACCTCTTTCCTGCTCCTCTCTGACATGCTTTCTTCCCTGAACCCTTTCTGTGGTTGATGCACCTTTATATGTCTTATACCTGAGTACAAAACCATGAGGGATTGAGACATGCATGCATGTGCCTGCACATATAGCCCATCAGCCTGCTCTACAGTAGAAAAGTCATCCAGTCATCTTGTAGCTTCTGAATTATTGCTGATCCTATTCCTCAATGCCCCAATCCAAAACTTCATTAACGCTTTTTCTGTTTTTTATATTTTTTAATTTTAATTTTTATTATTTATTTATTTATTTATTTGTGGAAGCCTTCTTAACCTCAGAACTCTTGCATTTATTTATTTATTTATTTATTTAAGTGGGGGGGGGCAGCTCAGCCCCCCAGGGGGCGGGGCTGGCTGGCATGTGGTGCTGGGGGATTAAACCGCGGTCCCTGTGCGTTGCTAAGCTTGTTCTAAGTAGGTGCTTTAGACCACTGAGCCATCTCACTAGCCCCTGTTTTTTATATTTTAGGGAAAGGTCTACAGGGTGTTCAGGGTCTCACTACTAGATCAGACTCATAGTGATCTGCCTGTTTACAGCCTCCCAAGAGCTGGGATTACAGGCACTCACCACCATGCCATCTCAATTGCCATCTCAATTGCCATCTCAGTGGCCCTGGGGGCAGGCCAGCTCGGCAGGCCAGGGGAACAAACCCATGGCCCCTGTGCCTGCTTTTGGGTGCTTTAATCCGTTTAGCAATTTGACCGACTTTCATTAACTCTTACTGAACTAATAACATGGAACTTATTTACTGCTTGTTCTAGTTAGAATTCTCTAAAATATCTCTCCTATTCTCATACAAATACACCAACTAAAAAATTAAAACTCTTGGCAGTCTCTTTTGGACCACCTTCCTGAGTATGCCTTTTATATAGTAAAAAATCAGATTCCTTGGCCTGGCCTTGAGGGAAAGCTTCCCCCTTTGTGCTTCTCCAAAGCACTGACCCCACGCTCTCTCGCCTTGAAACTCGTGCTCTGTGAATGTCTGATGGCTTTAGCACGCCCCTGCCTTGGCTATCCTGGTCTCTCTTGGTGGTAGTCCTTGCCTTCTTCTGGCTCCTCCGCTCACCACCTCAGGGTCGGTGCAGCTGTCTTCTCTGCGATGCGGGCTTCCTCTCCCTGTGCCTACTCTTTCCATAGTGCATCCACATGGTATCGCACTTTCTTCTCGTCTGTGGCTCTTGTTAAACTGTGAGATCCCTTAGAGCCGGGGGTGAGGCTTACTCATCCTTGTATCCGCAGTGTAACGTCTGGTGCACATAGTGGTCCTGCACATAGTGGGCACTTTACGTGCATTTATTATTCCCCACTGCAGAGATCCTGAAGGGGCCCAAATAAGCCATGTGTGTCTGGCACTCAGGCAGCTCTGATGGAACCCCAGTGTGTGTTTGTACAGTCCTGAACCATTGATTATGAATTATTAAAGGTCAAACAAGCAGCTGCACAGGATAAAGCTGGAATTTTGATAAGTCATTTATAATCTTTCAGAACGGCCTGTGGGTGTCCAAGAATTTTGGGGGAAAATGGGAAGAAATCCACAAAGCAGTATGTTTGGCCAAATGGTGAGTAACAGAAGACTCCATCTGTGCAGAGCCTAAGCCTTTCCGTATAGTACTGCCGGAAGTCACAGGAGTAAACATCGAGCACGTACTCTTCAGGGTGCCGTAAGGGATCTGAGAGAGGAGCCTGACACGGAGCTCGGGCAAGAGGAGCTCCCCTTAAGCTAGAGGAAAAGACCTGGTGTGAGTACATGTTAGAGTGTAACAAAGGCGTCTGACAGAGTAGCTGCTGCCTGGAAGAGATTTATTCTCTGTATCTGGTCACATCAGTCGGAACATAACAAAACACAGCTTTAATTTGAAGACTTACATATGTCTGTGCACCAAGATTTACACTCCTTAGGTATCAGTCCATTTCAGTTCTGTAGGACAGAATAAGGAATCAGGAAGAAAACCGTAAGAGCTTCCCTAGTGCCAGAGTCACATGGTCCACACATGAAAGCTCACTCGCCTCTGGACAGGCTGTCCTGTCTCCGGCAGGTGCACAAAGGAAGATGACAGTGGGGAGGCGCTCTGACTGACGGGTCTGGTCGCCTTGGTTCTGGCCTGCCGGTGCTGCTAGTCAGTAGCTCAGCCTCCCTGGGCCTCAGGTTTTCTCTCTGTGATCTGAGGGATGTGAGGAGGGGGTTGAACAAAATTAAGAGCCTTCATACGTCCAAAATTCTTAACTAGGCTCAGCCCTTGTTCAGAGTCTTCTTTCTCTTTCACTAATTTGACAAAAAAGTTCATCTGATTTCCCAGTTTAGAGCAGATTTCTGTCAGAGATCAGTTCTGTGGCTGCTAGCAACAAATGCATAACAGCATTAGAAGTGCAGCCAAGAGCTGGAAGAAAGGAGAAAAATTATAGAAGAACAGACAGAAATGTAGCACATGAAATCACTTATCCTGTGCAAGGTGTTTTTCTTTTATAATGCTGTATTCCATTGCCTTAGACATACCTGGGCTACTGGTAACGCTTTACTCACTGTGAAGCACGATCAAGTGTGAAGCCACTTAGGGCTAGATAAAGAAAGGACCTGTACCTCAGTGACTTCTAATGGGAACACTGGACGTGCTTTGATAAGATCAGTGTCGATGATGATGGCCTAGAAACCCAGAACTGAGGGAATAAGGAAATGTATAATATAGGTTTGAGCTGTATCTATCAAAGTTAATTAAAATATTAAATATTTTATCTAAATAAGATGGGCTTTTTCCAGAAATGCTCATTAAGTGAAGTTTTCACATATCTCTGTGGTACATATACCATATCTTCTTTGTTTTTTTTTTTTTTTTTTTTTTAATTTATTTGTGTGTGTGTGTGTGTGTGTGTGTCCCCAGCTCAGTCCACCAGGGGGCAGGGCTGGCTGGCATGTGGTGCTGGGGGATTGAACCGTGGTCCCTGTGCTTTAGCTAAGCTTGTTCTAAGTAGGTGCTTTAGACCACTGAGCCATCTCACCAGCCCCTACCATATCTTCTTTGATATGGTATTTTCAAGAAGTTTATTTGTAGCATGTAAGGACTTACCAGGAAAGAAGGAATTTTTAAGGTAACTAAGTTAACGAGTCATTTCTTTCCTGATGAACCTAAAATATATAGGATGTGTTTAATTAATACTATAGTAATGTTGATTATTAAGCAGGAATTTTTTTTTTTTCTACTTCAGGCTGCCTTAATTGCAGGTCTGGTACAGCTTCTGGAAGTGGGAATCAAACCACATTCCTATGCACCTGCCTACATTTACCCAAGCAGTGGTTTAAACAACTGAGCTATCTGGAAAAACTCAATGTTGATTTTTTTTTGGACAAGGTTTTGCTATGTAGTTTAGGCTGGCCTCAAACTGACAATAATCCTCCCGCTTCAGCCTCCTGTGCTACCAAGTCTAGTCCTGGTTACATTTTATTTTATTTTATTTTTCCTCTTCCTTTTTTTTTTTTTTTTTTTTTTTTTTTTTTTTTTTTTCCTCTTCCTTTTTTTTTTTTTTTTTTTTTTTTTTTTTTTTTTTTTTGGTGGAACTTGCCAGGGAAGCACTTATTCCACTGAGCCATCTCCCCAGCCCCCAAATTTT